AATTTGAAATAAATTTAATAATATTGTTATAAGCTATAAAGTATCATATTAATGTATATAATTAAGTTACTACACTTTAGGTTTATTTTTGAATTATTTAAAAGTGATTAGAATAACACAAAAAATGAAAATGATTAAGAATAAGGTTTAAAATCAGACTGGTAGAATTGATAACAATTTGTTGTATTTCCAAAAATTGTGTACAATCTAAAAACGAAATGGTGGTCTTTGGGGAAGTAGGTTTTCGCAACATCAACAGATAAAGAATACGTGCCGGGTTTTAAAACTGTTTCGTGTTCTTGATGGAACGATTTGTAAAAATTGATTGTTCCGTAGCTATCATATTTAATAAAGCTTTCATCTTTGTATTTATCTCCTCCAAATTCAATTTTTGCAGTTGAAAATGAGTCATCAGAGATAACTGTTAAGAAAAAGCGAAAACTGTCTTCATCTTGGTCGTAAAGTAAACTGTCTATTCTAAATTCAAGAGGGCAGTCTTCCAGTTTTAAATCGTAGTGATATTCTTGAGATAGTGATACTGTGAATAACAAAACAATTGAGAACATTTAAATGATTGTTTTTTTAAAAAACAAGTTCAAGTAAAATAAACCAAGTTGTTAAATATACTTATAATTTTTTATTTTTAAAGGTTATAAAAATAGTTAAGTGGTTTTTTGAGTTTAGAGAAATAATGGTCATTACATATTCATTTTTAATATCCAATAATTCAAATTGTTAATTAAAAATAAATTTAATGAAAACAAAACATGTGAAATTATTCATGTTTTTTAAATGTCATTTTAAAAAATACAGGTCAAAACATGATTTTGGGAGAAATTGATATGAATTGATTAATTGCACCAAACATTTTATGATGCCAAATGTGACATTCAAATATTTTGTAATTTAAAAAAATCATCATTTTAATAATATTGTTTATTAAAAGAATAAAATACGATGATTTTTGAAAACAAATACAACAAAATTGTCTTTTGACAATTCAAGTTATTAAGTGATTTTAGATTTAACATTTTTATATTTTTATATTAATATTGATATTTAAACGTTTTTAAACTCTTAAATTCTAATGTTCTTTGTTATTTTATTTTTTACTCTTTCACAAGCAGAAAAAACTCCACTTGTTTTGAATATTATCCGTAAAGGAATTTATGTCGAAAATGCTACGATTGATAAATGGGCATTAGGCTACAAATTTACAACTAACATGACTGTAATCGCAGCCAATTTATTATCAGCAACATTGAACGTTACAGCAGATTATTATGTTGGTGGAGAAAAAAGAGTTCTCATAAATTGAATTATTCTAAACTGGATATTTCTCGCCAACCCATATTATATAAATTTGAAACGGACCCGTTTCCCCTTGGAAGAACGGGAACTTTTATTATCTTTTATGTCATCGACTTTTTGGCAGGAACCATAAAAGACAAAAGTTGCAAAATGGCGACATATACACCAATTTAATTGCAGATTATTTTTAACATTTTACTATATAAACATTTTCTTAAATAATAATAATTGATTGTTTTTTCAATTGTTAAAAAACAATTTAAAATATGTAGTTTTTGAATTGTCCAATTACACTCGTAACAAATTTCAATTTGGAAACTTATTTATATGTATTTGTATTTTTAATTTAATTAACCAGATATAAAAACATTAAATTATATTAATATAACTCTGCAATGCACTTTGTACGTTTTCGATACTCATTCTTTGAGTTGTTTCTTGTGTCCAACTTTTTGTGATAATTACAGATAATTTATATGGGATTACTTTTGATATTTCAAGTCTTTTACCTCCACTTGTAAAATCTGCAATATTCCACGCATATTTAAACCTCTCATCATCCTTCTTAAATGCCTCTTCCCATGAGAACACTTCAAACATAGTGATTGCAAACGAATATATATCGGCCGCTTTCTTATACTTTTTTTCTTTCCAATACTTCAGGCGCCATATACTTTGGTGTTCCAATTCCTTTTGTAAAAGTCATGTTGGTCATTAACATATTGACATTCCTAGCACTTCCAAAGTCAGTTAATTTTGCATTTACTTTTTCGTTTACATCAAGTGAGAATACAAGAATATTGTCTGGCTTGATATCTCTGTGTAATATCCCATTTTCGTGTAAATATGATATTCCCTTTGCTGCATCCAACAGCATTTTAATTCGCATTTTGATGTCAACCTCATCAGATTTTTTGTGTTTTAATAAACCTTGTAAACTTCCAAATTGAGCAAATTCAGTGACGACACATTCTTTCTTTTCAATGAAAACAGCACCAAAGAAATGTACCAAGTAGTCACTACGAAATTTATCAAGCATTGCAATTTCTTTTTTAAACTCGTTAAGTTGATTCGCATCTTCTTGTAATTTCTGTTTCATCTTTTTAATTGCAACTTCGTACTTTCTGTAACTTCCTTTATAAACAACACCAAAAGACCCTTCACCAAGTACATTCTCTTCTATTAACTCGTCATAGTCAAGATGTGTTGAATTCTCCGTTTTCGCATTTATTGTAATTGATGTAGCTTCTTTCTTCCCATCTTTTATATTTAGTGAAATAATTACAATTTCATCAACTAAATTCATAGTGCAATATGGTGTTAAAAAGATTTCAAATTCGCAAGCAAATCCCCTCTTTAAAGTCACAATTTGTGGCTCAGTTCTGATTGAATATTTATCACAATTATCTTTGGTTGTTATTTGTACTTTTAAGTTACTTTTTGATGCGTTTCCAACACACAACAATTCTCTACTTTCATTGTCCATTTTGAGATATTCATTATCACTACCAAATCTGATGTCATGCTTATCAACAAGAACTTCGTTACTTA